ATTATATAAAAATTAATAATACTATAATTTATTTTAGTTAATTTATTATTGTTATTGTAATTAATTTCAAAAATATTTTTAGGATATAATATGAATTATTGATTCAAAATAATTAATCCTAGTGCGTTTAATAAAACTTGTACGAATATTGATAAACTTTCTTTAAATTTTAAATATAAAATATATATTTATAAAATTTAAATAAAAAATTTGAATGATAAAATTTGATAAAAATAATTATCACTATATTAAAAATAACTTTACATATTTAAAATTTTTATTGTTTGAATATAATAATTATCTTGATCATAATTGATACAAATTCGAAAATCGAAAAGTATGATTTGAGTAATACATTTTAATGTTCATTAAAATTAGTACAAATGTCATATATTATAATATATTACGTCAACTATTATGTAGGTAATACAAACACAAACGAAATGATGTGTCATTTTTTTTTTCTCTTCAAAAATAAAGTATACATGAAATCTTGTTAAGCGCTATTACATAATATAAAACATTGAAAAAAAAATCAAATTGCATTTGAATATGTATAAAGAAATTTAATGTATACATACATATACACGCGCGCGCGCGCACGCACGCACGCACGCACACATGTATGTATAATGAAGTATATGTATCATAATCATATTAAATTATATGTCAATCAATTTTGTATAATTTTATGATTTGCATTGTAATTTACTATTAATATCCTAATAAATTGCATTGATGTATAAAAAACAATTTAAGTTTAAACGAAAATTTTAAAAAAATTAAAATATTTTTTTGAGAAAATTATAATTTATTTTATTTAAAGAAATTATATTTTAAAGAAATTAATAAATAGAAATAAAATATTTGACAGATAGTGAAAAATTTATACCACGTGATAATCTAGGGTTCACAATTATTTCGTTTAGGGATATGCTAGTAACTAGCATTGAAGATATACCTCTATTTAATATATGCATTACTACACTGAATCAGGTCCAAGAGTTGCATAATTGTCATTTTAAATGAAACTTTGCTACACAAGTGATACATGTTTACCGCTTATATAAGTCATCTTTATAAAAGTAAAAAAAAAAATCTAATGAATTACTGAGTTATTCGCGAAATCGAATATGATCTCTTAGAACAGTTGTCAATAACAACTATTGTGATATGTCAAATTTTACCATTCATAATCTTATATGAAAAAAGCAAATTACCTGAAGGGTTATGAGACTATATATTAAGGTATTTAAATAATAACATTTATTTATTGGATCATACAGAAATATAGAATATATAGCTATAAGAATAAAATTTAGATGATTTGAAAAGAACAAATTCATTCCGAACGTATGAACGACTGACATGCTTTTTGAAGAAACCTGTTACAAATATGTATATGTCTTTTCGTGGTACTTACCTTCTCTTTTGCTCTGCCTGCATGTTTTTGCACTGTCTTCGCAATCAATGCACCCTTACTTTCAGCCATTTTCTTCAAATTATTTGAAAGGCGATGACTTTATAACTTCTCTCCGCAAAACACAATTTCAACTTCTAAGCTTAACCGACTCTTTCACAACGAATCACAACCAAAACGCACGAACGGAAGCGCGGAGAAACACTGAAGACTCGACACGAAACTGCGCGCCGAGGTTGGATTATCACTTTTACAAGGCAGTGCCTACTGGCAGCACTGTACATACTCGTAAATATTTTACCTATCGATATAGTAGAGTAAAGATGACAATAACAGTAAATAAATAAAAAAAAAAATAGATTATATTAAAATTCGCTTAAACTGATTTTAAAAAATTTTTTAAAATTCATAATTTAAAATAATTTTCAGTTATAATTAACATTTTAAGAAAAAGAAATTTCAAAACAATTTCTTTAATTTTTAAATCCATCTTTTAAACAAAATATTAAAAGATATAATTTAATTCATATATAGTTAAATATAATGTTGAGTATAAAAAATTTGTTATTTATTAACATAATTTCAATAAATATATGTATTCTATATGTATTCTTAGAATTACAAAATGATTTATAAAAAAAAATTGCAATATCTATTTATTTATTATTAAAATATT